ATAAATTTATTTTAAAAAATGTAATAAAATAAAAACTTATTTAAAAGAAGTTAATTAAAATAAAGTAAAAACTTTTTTTAACATTTTTATAAAATAAGTTTTTTATTTTATTTAGGTAACTTTTTTAAATAAGTTCTTATTCTATTATACTTTAAAAATAAATTTTTATTTATTATTAAAATTTATTTTATATATAATGCCATTTTGCTTATTTTAAAATTGAGTAACCATGGTGAAATAAATCAAATTGGATGGCTATTGTGACGTTAAATAATAAATATAAAGTTGAGTGACCATGATGATACAAAATCAAATTGGGAGATCATTGTGACACTAAATACAAAGTTGGATGGTCATTGGTAAATTTAACCCTAATTTATAAAGACAAGTAGAAATCGCTATATGTTTCCTCATTTTTGAGTTTTGAGGACCTACTTTAAGATTGCTAAAAAACGAGTTAGTTTATTGTTTTGAAAAATTATTTCTCGAAAAATAAAATTAGAAAACATGTTTGGTTAGAAATTTTAAAAATTGTCTTATGATATTTTATTTCATGAAATTTGATTATTTAAAAAAAAAGGGACAATTTTATGTTGACAATTTTCAAGTAATATATACATTTTAAAGTTGGTGAATTGTATCATAATTTTTATCGACACAAGAGTAAAATAAAAAAAAAGAAAAATATAAATATAAATGGAATTCAGAATATAAGAAATAAAAATAAAATTTAATGACGTGGATTAAAATAATTTTACATGCGTTCATTATTTTTATAGTATTTTTATGAAAATGATTATTAAAATTTGGAACTATTTTAATTTTCTAATATTTTTTATAATTCTATTTTTTTTTAATTTTAAATTTTTAGAAATTAACTTTTTTAAAAGTTTTGATTTTATTTTTTCAAATTTTTTTTTATTTTTTTATTTTTTAGTATCTATCAATTTTATTTTGAATTTATTTTTCTTGACTTTTTTGTTTGACAAATTTTAAAAATTTTACTTTTTAGAATTTTAGAAATTTTATTTTTAAGATTTATTTAAACTTTTATTTTCCCTATTTTGAGTTTTATATTATAAGTATCATTGTTTTTGAAAATGTATTTTCAAAAATATTAGATCAAACATGTTTTCGATATTTTGCAAAATTGAAAATAATTTAAAAACAATAAACCAAACACACCCTTAATACATTGCAAAAATCAATGTTTTCACGACCAGAAAAAGGTAAAGAATGGAGAATCGAATGGACGGTAGATCTTGATACTTTGTGATATTAATGTTTTTCAAGTAACAACAATGCTATACGTATGAACAGGTTTGTTAGATAAACTTAAAAAATGTCATATGGCAACATTTTCTTAGATTTCGAAAAAAGAATTTAAAATTAAAATAGCAAATAAGGTTCTGCCAACTCAGTACATGTAAACAAAATTTTACAAAGAATTATGCTAGTTGTATATCACAAATTGTACATAATGGTGTATACCCACTCACATGGGAAGACCCACTTGAATATTTTATTCGAGTAGGTCCCTCACCCATGTGAGGAGGGCGTACACCGTTAGGTAGAGAGTAATGTACCACTAGCATGATTGTTTTACAAATATCAAGCTCCAATGTTTTCACCGCCACATGTACGTTCGGGTGTACAATATGGATGACATAATGCACAAATGGCATTCTGTCATTGGTCGGTGAAAATTATTTTTTTCGTTAGCTAATGACGAAATGCCCCTTGTGTATAATGTCACCCAGAGTATACAACTAAGTGTACAAGTAGAATAATTAAAAAAGAACTTTCATGCTCCCTTTTAATACATATATAAACAATTATGTAACTGTTTATGTACAAGTAACATGGTTGTGCTACATTCATACGATAAATATACATAATAATTTACATACATCATGGTGAAATCTGATTGTTTCAGAATTTTTTCAACCAAATTCATTATGCATATGTAGCCCAACCCAAAAAGTAAAGAATGAAGAGTCGAGTTAAAGGTATTAAATACACAAGAAATGATTTTTTGGGTCGCAGTGCGAGTTTTAGCTGTAAACTGCTCGGCTCTTAATTTATAGTAAGGGGTTCTAGATTTTTGTTATTTTGCTTTAACAAATTGATTTTTAGATTTTTCTGATTAAACTTTTCGTTCTATTTCAGTTTTTATAACATTGGTAAACTTGAAAATTTATAACATTGGGAAATGAACTTTCGTCCGCCAAATTCACACTGGGGCATGGGGTTTGGATTTAGGGTGTGTTTGAACCCCTTTAATTTGAAAAATGTATTATAAAATAATAGATTGATGGAGAATGTGTGGTTAAAATAGAAGAAGAAGAAAAAAAATTTGAGTTACGTGTAATGTTATTTTAATAAAGAATGTATGGTTGAAAATAATTATCATAGAAAAAATAATGTAGTATAATGTAAAATAATGGGTGACAAATAGGGGCTTAATAAAGGAGCAATGAGGTAAACAACATGGAAAAACAGGAAAAAGTGGCCAATTTAGGGATACAACGACGTTGTTTATCCCAATAGTGCAGTTTGGAACATGAGAAAAAGCTTATATTTTGTCTTAGCAGAGATTGTGTAATTATTTAGGATGCGTTTGGTTTGTCGTTTTCAAGCCATTTTCTGTTTTTAGTTTTGGGAAATGTCGAAAATGTGTTTGGCACGTCGTTTTCGAAAACAAAGAAAAATTTATAACTGAAAACTCAAAAACGATTTTTTTTCCGTTTTGAGTGTTCAATTAAAAAACTCAAAACGCAAAAAACACTCCAATTTATTTTCCACCCAGGGCTGCTCGGTTGTATTTTTAAAATAAAATGTTGTAATCTGATACAATTTAGTGAAGCACAATAATTTTAAAACCCATAAAACATTTTTCAATTTACATTATTGTTTTTTTTCATTGATCAAAATTTGGAAGAACTACTATTTTCTTTTTTACTGTTCAAGTGACAACAAAATACATCTAAAAAGATGAAGGACAAACTAGCTATTTTCTTTACAACGATTTCTATTTTTAGTCTATAAATTTATTATTTTATTTTTGTAGCAAGAAAAAATAGGAAATTCACCAAATTTAAAATATATATTATTTGTTAATATATTAGCATAAAATTATTATATTTTACTAAACAATCAAACTGATTGATAAATGTCATAAAACAATTTATAAAAATATTAAACCAAACGCATTTTCTAATTTTCTATTTTGAGAAATCGTTTTTCAAAATGACAGACCAAACACATTTTTTTGTAATTCGAAAATAATCCATCAAAAAAATGAATTCAAAGCTGTAAACAAGAAAAGGAAACGTAAACAAAATGCACCCTAAATGTTTGTGCTTATAATTGTTAATTGAGTTTGCCAATTTTGTTTGTTAAATGTTTTTATTCCTTTTCGGGGTTCTTGTTTGGCTAATTTTTGTATACTTTTTTTACTTTTCTTTATTGACTGAACGGGAAAAGAAGTTTTTTTTTAATATTTTAATTTCTTTATTTTTATGATGATAAGAAGCTTGAGATAAAGATGAATGGTGGTAATCATTTGAGAGCTTAGAGTATTTCTCAAAACTCTTCAAATACGAGACACTCTCTATTTTAAAGAGTTAATTTTTAAAATCATAATTCAAGATACTCTGTAAATTAACATTTTAATTTAGAGAAATATTCAAAGTGTTTCAAATTTCAATGTCGGAAAATAATAAAATAATCTGTAAAAAAGTTATTTAAAATAAAATATGGAGAAAAATAATAAATATTCTTTAATAAGAGTAAAATTAAGTGTTAAATATAAAGAGTTTGTTTGAGTATTTCAAAATTTGAACTCTCTAAGTTTATAGATGTTCTCCAAATGATAAAATATACTATTTAAAAATTGAAAGTCTATTGGAGATGTTCTTAGCCACAAGATGTTATCCTGTGGAAGGGGTGGTTGACCAATTCAAATTTTTAAATGAAGCTAAATGAATGAAAAAGTTATTGAATTAATTGAAGCAACTCAATGAGAAATAAAATAAATTTCAAAACAATTTGTAGTGAACAATATTCAACAGATGTCACAATTAGTTTACTAAGATTTTACAACTAAAGTTTCAACGACCAAATCAATTTGGTCGTTAAAAATTATTTTCAACGACTAAGTAGTAAGTTTGGTCATAGAAAATGGATGACGAACAATCAAATTTCAAATTAGTTGGAAATACTTTATGATGACCAAAATATAGTTGTCAATTCTATATTTTCTACGACCAAATTAAATTTGGTCGTTGTGAGTGGGCGTTAAATAAAAAATTCCCACCAAAATGTATGTTTGTATTCAATGACAATGTAATTAGTTGTTAAAAATACAAAAAATATAGTAAACATTCAACGACCATAATGTTTGATCGTTAATAGACTAAAACAACAACTAATTCTATTTCGTTGTTGAAAATAAAGAAAAATTCGATATTCAACGACTACTTTTATATAGTTGTTAATTGTGATTTCATTTTCTCATCTTAAAATTTCACTTCCCGCCTAATAATTCACTTGGCTCTTAAAATTTTATTTCACGGTCAAACAAGTTTCACTTATTCATGCAGGCGTATCATTTCATTCCAAGACCCTATAATCCATGAGCTTTGTTACAATGACAAAAGGGGTTGACAAAATTAGATTACAAAATCAAATCTATACCAATTGTTTCAAAAATAGATTTTTAAATCATTTGAAATTAAATGTCCAAATTTTGCCAACACACTTTGACACTCCACTTTTATGTACAACTTTGTAGGAGTAGGATTATAGCTCATGGTTACAATGACAAAGGAAGTTGACAAAATTAGGTTACAAAATCAAATTTACACCAATCATTTTAAAAATAGATTTTTAAATCATTTGAAATTAATGATCCAAATTTTGCCAACACACTTTGACAATACACTTTTATATACCAACTTTGTAAGAGTTGAATTATTCATAATCCATAACTTCATCTCCTGACTCCTCGTGGATGTGAGCCGCCTCCATCTTTCTTATAATCACTCTAACTCCTTTTCTCTTTAAGCATTTTCAATCTCCATCGTCAATACAAGCACGGTCCATTTCCTACCGGAGGTTTATATTTGGATCTTTATTGCGCCGTTGGGAACTATTTTCCCCGAATTATCATCCACGTGCCGCCGGCGCGCTTCTGCACTCAACTAGGTTTTCGCCTTCTGCCGAATCCCTGAAGCAAATTTGTTTGCTGAAACTCCTTCTTGGCCTAGGAAGATAAAGAAGAAGAGATAATAATAGAATTCCTGAAGAAAATTTGTTTGCTGAAACTCCTTCTCGGCCCAGGAAGAAAACCATAGATGGGCTAACGATTTATACAGAAGAGGAGTTGGGCATTGGGAAGCTAGATGCTGGAGGTACCCGTCTATGCCCATTCGACTGTGATCGTTGTTTTTAATGAAATTAGTTTCCAGTGTAGATTGGTATTTCAAATGCTTTCCTTATTAACATATTTTTGAAGTACTTGATGAACTAATTCCTTGTTCTACTGATGTTATGGAAAGGTAATATGGATTTCAGGAAAAAAAAAAAAACAGGTACTTTTGTTTTCAAAATTCGAGTTTCACTTTTATCTTGAAGATTCCACCTGCTTCAGCTTGCTGCTGAGAGTTGCAGGTACTTTTGTTTTATGTTTATCTTTTTTGGTTCTCTCTATGTATGTAATGACTTTGTTTCACACTGCTAATGGTATTTTTATTCAATTTCATTGGATTATTCAAATGCTAATGGCTTTTTATTGTAATTGAATCAATGAGCCAGACATTGAATTTTATTGTGCGGTTTCTATTTCAAGAATTAGTATAATTGATTTCAAATTTAGGGCAAGCATTAATTATGATCATCTTGTTTCGATTTAGATTCTCGCCATCTTGCTAAGACCCTAATTTTTTTTTTTCCAGTTTTTCTTTTGAAATTCATGTCGAGAAATTGAAAGGGAAAGATCTAAAATTTCACGCTGTCTTCAAAGAAATTGTCAGATTATATTAAAAAGGTTCTATTCTTAATATTCAGGGCTTTTTGTCGCTGGTCTTAGTTATGTATAACGCGAAATCCATGAAGTGAGGTCTTTCAGGCTTCAATTATTTATAAAATTACAGGTTTTTTCTTAAATCATTCAAGATAGAAAAGATTAAATTTTGTGCTTGGAGGCAACAGGGATGATCGGGATTAGACTCAGCTTCATATTTGTGCTTGGAGTGATCAGAAGGAGGTAAATTTTGTCCCCTCCATGATATCTTTCCTTGGGTATTCTACATTTACCTTTGAACTTCGCGTGTAACATACTTTGTTGAGGGTCAGTTTGTACCCTTTTTTTTTAGTAATCTAATTGTTTAGTGTATAGCTTTCTATCAAGTATAAATAGCACTGTGAGAAATCTTCCATTTAGTATGCTATTAACAACGTGAATATAAAGGGTGACATGGTGATAGTTATATATTTTTCTTAGATTGCGGCAATAGTCTCCAACTCTACATTTGTTTTTTTTCTTTTTATGTTGAGAATACCATTGGTTAAGCTGAGTGCAATATTTTAAGTCATGATAGTTGATATAATTAACATATAGTTGTAGTTGATGTTGAGATATTTTAATTGATTGAAGGCTCTGAAAACTTTTACTTCTTGTTAATGTTATTTACAGTTGATATATAGCAGGTTGCATGCATGCTTAAACCATTTGAAACTGAATTGCTACTTTTTTCTTGTTATTAATAGAATGCTCTACCCATGTCAAATAAAGTATAGGGAGACAGCTGGAAGGGAAAAGACAAGGAACAAGAGTAAAGAATTTACAAGTCTTGTGGGAGAAGGATGGTTGAGACGTTGACTGCCTTCGATACTGGAAAAATAACCCAAGCGGTCTACCCCCTTGGCAAATCCCAACTGAAAGCACTATACGAACTAATGACAAGCGAGAGAAAGAAAGCCGTTGGCCTTGTGTGTAAACCTTGTTGCGGAATCCTTCACTTGTTATAATCGTTTATGATTGTGGGTAGGATTTGAGTGTAGTGTGATGTAAACGTGTGAAAGTTATGAAGTCATAAATATTATTGTTGATAATCATATTTTTCGTTATTTTAATATTTTGATTGTTAATATAAACGTTTTACAACCATTTCTTTCGTTATTGAAAAAAAAGGCGACTAAATTTTAGTTGCTATTATGATATTTTATCAACAAAAATAATTAAATACAACAACAAAAGAAGCAGTTGTTGAAATAAAATTAATTGGTTGTCAATATTATTTTTTAACGGCCAACTATTTCGTTGTTGAAATGAAAGGTAACTAAAAGTTGGTCATTTTTATTGTATTTTAACGACAAAAATAGTTGATACAACAAATAAACAAGTGGTTGTTGAAAAAAAATCAGTTGTCAATACAAATCTTTTACGATCAATTATTTAGTTGCTAAAATAATACATTTAACGACCAAACATATTTTTAGTCGTTGAGTACATTCGCCAACACCTCTTTATCAATCAAGGAACAACCAAAAATGTATATTCTACGACCAATTATATGGTTGTTGAACGTGATTTTTCTTGTAGTGAATTATTCAATCTTTCACATGACATTCAATCACAAGTAAGATTCAATAACTTCTATTTCGAAAAATTTCTTTCTACAAATGCTATTGCAATATGTATTTTCAATAATTTTTAAGAATAGTCCAATTGTATCACATAACTCAAAAAGTAAAATGCCCAGTGTACAGGGCATTTTCTTACAGAGGTTTTACAGGGGCCCCACTAATGTGTGTATTCTGTGAAATGCCTGTATGTTTTCCCTATGTAAGTGTAGCACCATTGATTCAAAAATAGTAAGTGATGTCATTATTTTTCTTGATAAAAGATTTTGCAGAATTTCCATTTCCTAAAATAAATCTTGGCTACCAAGATTACAAAATTTTCATGATTTCGAACAATCACAAGATGATCATCACGTGTTGTTCTATGACATAGAAAAATTAAAATTTGAAACATCAGACTAGAAAATTGAGAAGAATCACGGGGAGAGTTTTAGAAAGAATATGCAACTCAAAATGATGATTTTTTATACATTTACGATGAGTTCATTTTCCCTTCTCGAAATATATTTTGATGTTTAACGTGCGACAGTTTTGTAAAGAATATTGATAGCATTTTTTTTTTTTTAAAAATAAGCGAGATTTCTTGCAAAAGGAGAAGTAGCTCACAATAATAGGAAGATTATAATATTTCTTAAAATCATTTTTTTTCCTTTTTCTTATTATTGGTCATAGTTTCAATATTTTAGAGTAAGCGTCTTTTTTTTTCCCCCCTTCTGCTTATTTATTGGATATATATCTTCCATTTGGTCCTCATTCTTTTCAAATTTTAATAATTGAAATAGTATTTTTTTTGAAAAATTGTGTGGTTGAAAAAGAATGGAAAGTTTTTCGATTTGTGTATAATATTATTTTATGAAAAATTGTATGATTAAAAATAAAATAGAGAAAAAGAAGGAGAAAGAGAATGGGGCCAAATAGGGGCATAGTTAGCCCCCGTTTGGCTCCTCATTAATTTTGATTATAATGGGGGGAATAGTGTGTGTGTGTGTGTTTTTTTTTTTAAAAAAATATATGGTTGTAAAAAAAATAAAAATATTACGATTTACGTGTAATATTATTTTATTCAAGATTGTGTAGTTGAAAATAGAAGAAAGAAAAATTTAATTTAATTTGATAAAATATAAGGGTGCCAAACAAGGGGCTTAATAATTACATTAAATTCTGGTCAATAAAATAGTTAATATGCACAAGACAATAGTTACAATTAAGAGTCCGTATGATTCTAATTTTTTTTAAGAATAAGAATGAAAAATATAATCGTTACGGAACCCACACAAGAGATAGAAAGTCAAATATGATGACTTGATGCGATTGATAACGATCATATTTTTTTCATTTTTTTGACCAAAGAATGAAAATCAAACGACCCTAAATTCTGGTCAATAAAATAGTTAATAATTCACAAGACAAAAAAATACAAATAATAATAAAACAAATACACATGGAGAGTCTTACAATATTATCTAAACTAGACAATGTCGCGTGCGTTGCACGAATTTTGTACTTATCGTATTTTTATTAGCGTATGAATTTTAGTTTTTAGGAAAGTTTTTAAAGGAATATCTAGTAATATTTCCCTAGTAATATTTCCATGATATAAAGAAAATTATTGCAAAATATTTTTATAGTTGCAACAGTAATTAAAAAAAATGCTTGAGGTTATATAAAGTGAATGTGACGATTATAGTTCTAAATTTTGTGTAATATTGAAAATTGAAGATTGAGGACAAAGTTATAAATTGAGCGTTTATATTTTGTTAATTATATATTTTAATATTTATTTTATGCTTCTATTGAAAAAAAAAATTTTGGAATTTTTTTTTTTTTTTTTTTTTTTTTTTACATTTGGCTCAGTAAGTGAATGTAGGTATTTACATTCTCGTATTTCTAATTGTAAAAACTGGTATATATACAATAGGCAGAATCTATTTACTGCAAATACGTTGGATCAACTTTTTTGGAAATGATAAAAAGAAGGATACATAATTTCCTTACAAATAGGTAAGCAGCATTTAGTAAGCTGCAAATAAGTAAGTTGCCTAATACGGTAACATGCGGTAGATAGCATACTGTATGTTACATACTGCAAATACGGTACACATGGCATGTCTTTAGTTTTACTAATTCAAGTTGTTAACCTTCGTGCTTTTCTTTGAGTAGGTAATAAAAGTATGATTTTGTTAACTTAGTTGGCTAAATTGAGAACGTGCTATAAAAAGAAAAAAAAAAGAATTATAGAAGAAAATTAATAAAATCAAAAGTTAAGTTTCTTTTATTGAAAATTAAACCCTTCTACGAGTTTTACCATCTATCCTGTTTCGGATTAGACCTTGGTCTTCAAGCATTGTGGGGACTCCGCACAAAATTGGTGCGGGGAATCCCCGCAAAGTCCTGCGGGGTCCCCGCATGGTCGTGTTCCACTCTTACAGTTTAAAAATTCTTGAAAATGCTATTCGTATTGGAAAATATGCTCTTTAAAACAAAGAGCATGTCAGAATGTTCCTAGGAAGCTCTCCAAATTCCGACCTATAATGATCATGACCTAGATAAACACATATGAGCTGATACGACATCCATTATATGGTCAGTGATCAAATAACTGGCATATAATTCTCGGTGAGAAGGAGGACCACCCAAATTTCAATTGAGGGTAAAATTCTATAATGGTAGAAACACGAGAAGATTAAGACTTATAGAAGAAAAACGAAGAATAGAAATATTACATGTTCCACAAGAGAGATTTTGATATACCAAGGTGCAACGCAATTGACACGAATGCCTTCTTTTGCCCATTCACAAGCCAAATTCCTTGTAAGCTGATTTATTGCACCAGTGAGTGGGAATTTTTAAGGATTATATAACTTTCATCCATTTCTAGTAAATGGTTAGTGTAAGAAAATAAGTATTTTCCCTATAATAACTTGCCTTTAGTCACTCCATAAATAGATCCGGACGATATGTCAATTAAAGCAGCGACCGATGATATGAACACAGCACTTTCGTTGCCAGAAGCTTTAAGAAGATTATAAGCAAGTTGGCATAGATGGTAAGAAGACTCAAAGTTTGTAGCCAAGAGATAGGAATATTCTTCAACAGAATAATCAACAGTTAACATCCTGATGTTCGACCCAACATTATTTATCTAAGACATGAAATCCTATGAGGCCATTCTCAAGGCTTTCAAGAACAATAACATTTTATACAGATGGTAACTTTCAATTTCTACGTCACAAAAAATGCCATCATAGAGTTCGCAGCTGCCGAGAAGGAAATGATTTGACATAGAAAAATTGTTGGAAATTACGATACTTGATAATATTTGCCTGAACATAAACAAGGAAAGGTAAAACAAATAGACAAGTTGAGCCCCTCGGGGTACTTCTCCACTGGCAAAGAAAGGGTTTTCTCAAGGCTGGCAGTTCAGAGGTCGTGGGTTCGATTCGTGGGGCTTTTGGAAGGCAAGGCATATACTGGAAGGCAGAATTTATTCGGGAAGGTAGGAATGTCTTGGAAGGCAAGGCGCAACGTGAGTTGACTCATTAGGCACTTTGGCAGTTCAGTTGGAGAGGCGCTCGGACCCTGGTCAGTAGGAGGCACATCCCGCGATTTAATTGGTATGTGTGAAGAGGGGTTGGATTACAGACCCAAGGAATAGTCATCGAAGGTGGACACCTTGATCAAAAAAAAAAATAGACAAGTTGACAAAAAAGTTAGAGGTAGTATACATTGGGAACATAGTCATTGATTAATGATTATCATGTTTTGCTATGAGGTGAGGCTGATTGCCCTAAGGTTAGGATTTAGGAGCTTACAGTCATATACATTCTGTTGGAAGTACCTACTCGTTCAGTGGTTCTGGACAGATGCAAAGTGATTCCCTAGGGAATCATTTTTCGACAAATTATTGGTTCTAAAAAAAAAAAGGTTAAACCCTAACCTTAAGGGCCCCCACCACCCCTGTCCTGGAGCATCGTGAGGGAGGTAAATCGCAGGTTATGCCTTCAAGGGTATAGGGTGGAAGGCTACTTGTACACTTGCACTTACTCAAGAGCCAAATCCATATTTCAGGACTCGAACCAAATCCATATTGGTTCTGCTTATAGAGAAAGTGATTTCATAGGACAACATTTTATGATTAAATTATTCACTTCATTTGCAAGTGGCTAAATGAATTCTACAAGAATCTATCATCTTCTAAATAAACATTTAACTTTTAGGCCTTTAGTCATTGTAATGAAAATATGAGCATCACATATGTAAATGCCTGTTTCCCTAATAAACTATTGGAGGAAAACATTTTAAACATGTGCACTGAGTAATTGAAATTCTAGCATGGCAAACAGAACCTATGAAGTTCATGAACTACGCCTAGCCCAAAAATTTTAACCAATTTAGCTCATCTTCATGAAAAAATAACATATCAACAATATTTTCATGCCAAGGTGAGTATTTCCCATAACTCATGGGGTAGTTCTAGAACCAAAAAAGTTGGATGACCAAAGTAAAACATTGCTTTAACTTGGGCATTAACAGCGTTTTTAACCAAAAAATATTATAAGGGACACTCGCAAGAATGTTGAGTTTGCCATTGAAAATTGAGGAGACCTTTTCTATGAGCTCTGTTCTTTGGTCTCTAGAAGAAGCATCACATACAGAACCACTCACTTTAAATCCTTTTGCATTCCATTCTTGCAAACGTTGATGGAGCTCCGCTTCATTTCTTGAACATGTGTGCACAATTGCACCCATTTCAGAAAGTTCTTCCACAGTTGCTTGCTTGATTATCACATTATAAAAAACAAATCATTAAAAAATGCAGAAAAAAATGAAAAAACCCATAAAGATTTTTAGTTAAAAAAAAACCCAAAAAACAAGAAAAATAATAAAGACCCAATTCCACAAGTGCCGCCGGTAACAAGAGTGGTCAGCTGGAAAAGGACTATCTTGAAGTTCTGCTCTGTCCTTCCCATGCCATGGATGATGGCTTTGCTCTCCCTTTCACGAGAAAACACACAACGATGAGTGTTTCAGTCAAATAGATTAGGAGTGAAGAATTTGTTGGGAATGTTTAATAGATTTGGAAGGGAGTTGCTAGGCTTATATGCTTTTTTAATGCTTATTTTGTTGATAGAGAGTATAAATAATGTCCATTTCATTTGCAGAGTGTCTGGACATTATCATTTGCGGACTGTCTGCATGTGCGGAGTGTCCACGCAGATTTGCACGGGCGCGGACACTCCGCACATCTGTGTAGAGTGTCTGCGCAAATTTGCACGGAGTGTCTGCACGGACACTTCTCACGCTATGCAGAGTGCGTAAAAAAAATTTGTGAACAGTTTGCAGAGATCAATTCATCTCTTCGAACTATGCAGAGAGACCACTCTTCTCTCCGCACAGTGCGGAGTTTTCAATTTTTTCTGAAAAAATAGTTAATAAACAAATTAAAACACAACAAAATTGAAAAACAAAAAACTACAGAGAAAAAACAACCTGAAAAAAATGTCTTATATATAAATAAACTAAATATAATTTATTATATATAAAAAATGACGAAAATTTTAGTTTATTTCAAGCATTCAAACTGCTAAGAAAAAATTATCTTCGTACACTTCGGAGAAATCAATTGATTTCTCGCAAATGTGCAGAGAGTTCTGAACTCATGTGCCATCTGATTCTTTTTTTTTTGGACAAAATCTGATTAAAACAAATACAAGCACCCAAAAAAAAAAACATAAACACTGCTAAATATGAACCTGTTAAACTAAACATCATTAAACGTCGATTAGAATGAACTGCAGAATGAGGTTGCACTTCTTGCATCAGATTTTTCAGTTGAGGATTCTCAATGCACGTCTACTTTCTCTTTCTTTTACAAGCTCGCCTATTTTTAAACCAATCACCAACATTTTTTTTCAGAAATAATAGAATTATGTGGCGATAAGGTGGGGACTATATGTAGAATTTCTGTACTATCTGGACTTTTATTTCCTCAATCAAATATGCATCGAAAAAAATCAACCCCTGTATCCAACGTTGTTGTCTTCCCATGCCGACAGCAAGCTAAAAAGCAAAAAAAAAAAAAAAAAAAAAAAAAAAAAAAAAAATAAAAAAAAAAAAAAAAAAAAAAAAAAAAAAAAAAAAAAAAAAAAAAAAAAAAAAAAAAAAAAAAAAAAAAAAAAAAAAAAAAAAAAAAAAAGAAAAAAAGAAAAAATATGAGAATCAACGTTGAAAGCTTCAAAGATGAAGTGAGAGTATCTAGAATGTGTCCAACAAAAATAGAATTCCACACAGCACCAAAACGGAAAAAAAAAATAGAAATGAAGATATCAATAAAAAGAAAAATAAGGAGTATGGTCGTGGGAGTACGGTTAGCATGGTTGTCGGCATGGTCACGAGTATGAATAGAAGCAAAGAATAAAAAAAAAAAGCAAAGAATAAAGAAAGGAAAAAATAGCATAAACAGTAAAATAGGATTACTTTACTGTTGTGTTTTCAGTGCCACCCCATTCACCTTTTTAATAGAAGTTAGAATGTTGGAAATTTGTTGTACAGAACATATTTTCCATAAATGAATTGCAAAACAGTAAAACAAAATATTATTTCCAGAAAATGAATTGCACAGAATAAAAAACAAAAGCATAAAGAAGTCCAGAATTCGGAATGAGATAGAACTAGGCTCTCTGTCATTAAGACATTTTTACCCCGTTACACGGTGCTTACGGTATGTGGTAAAGCGTCTCCCAAAATACAACGATCAAATACTTGCAGAAGCAGCACTACGACTGCAAGGCAACGAACCAGAACAGAAGTACTCTTTGTAATACTATTGCAGAAAAGAAGAGTATGAATGCAGAAAAAATTTCGTGATGTTTCTGTGTGTTATATAAATTGAAAGCCTGAGGACCATTCAAATAGAGGAGAGAGTTGACGGTTGAGCAGTTTCCATCCACCACTCACGCCCACTTAACGCACAGTTTTAGCAAACTGATGGGTCGGTTAATAAACTATCAAAGGGAGGGAATTAATTGAATCTAAAAATTAAAAATAATTTTTTTTTAAAATTAATATTAACACATGCCCACACCCACGCCCCGACCCGCCCGCCCACCCGGTCGGACAAACGGACGACGGCGACGGCGCGCGCGTGTGGCCTTTGGATTAGTCTAGACATTGTCTAAGACTCCCCCATTTCAAAGACTATTGGTACCCCTTGGGGCCCAAATCCATATCCAAACTTGAAGTTTATTAAGTGGTTCAAGGTTGTGTTTGCAACCTATGTGGGATTGGAACATTTTTCCAATTCTTTCCCATTTATTCATTTTATTTATTGTCTAACTTTCAACCATAATTTCTCATTCATATTGAAGTGGTTTTTCACAATTAAATATTTTACACTCATCTGCTCGGAACGTAGAATTTAATTGAGCATTAATTTCGATACATCGAACATCGAGTCCCACTTAAAATTGTAGTCAAAGTTGACCCAATTGACCAGCCACTTCCAACATAGAAATGTGTCACAGCTTAAGCATTTCCCTTGGCAAAAAAACCTCTTCGTGGTTGGTTCCTTGCGTCTACCATCTCTCTCTGCAAAAAATGTCGACATTTTTGTTTCTCTCCCTATATCTACATCTCTGCATCTATACATCTATACCCATATCTGTATCTTCAATCTCTTCTTCTCTCTCCGACATTTATACCTATATACTTGAAGTCTTTAGTAGTTTTGATTCTTCTCGTGCATGTAATACGTGCGTTGTGTATAGAGATTCTGTAGTTGTTGGGAAGTTAGAAATTTGATGGAAAAGTGAAGAATACAGAAGGGATTTACTCTTTGCCGATGTCATTCGTCGAGGTTCTCGTTCTAATCTAGATTATTCATAATCTCTATTTATTCTTGTTCTTTAAGGGGTTATGATTTTTATGCATTTTTATTTAATTATTTGTTCAATTTGGTGCAGGATTTATCTTAGCTCCTTTATTTGGGCAAAATCGGAGGCAAATTTCGAGTTTATTCGGGTAATTTAGAGAGCCCTTCATGAATATTTGCACTAAAATTTGACGAAATTTGGTAAATATTAAATTTTTGTGGTTTTACTTGATCTGAAATTGGAGCAATGCGAAAAGAATAGAATGTTGAGTTTCAGGTTTGCTTAGTATGAAAATTGAGGAAATGGGAAAAGGTAGTGATATAACCGAGTTTTGTTCCCGACGAATATAGACCGAGGACTCAATTTCGTCGGTATGAGTATCAAAATGCTCGGGACATATGTGCTCGGGTATCATGTATGCCCGGGCTAATAGCCCGAAGATTTATTACACAATCATTCGACAATTATATCCGACAATTATGTCTCCTATGCCCGACGAGAGATTTATTCTGACTAAATATCCTTAATTTATGTCTCCTATGCCCAGAAGAACTCTATTGGTATCACAATTATACCACAATTCAAACTCCTATCTCGCGTAGGACTCATTGGTATAAAATCGCAAAATCAAGCTATCCTACTACAGGTGCAATGCGGAATCCTGATATGAACACACTACCTACCCCTATAAATACAGGACCTTGA